ACCCTTCTATCCATCAAATTCTGTACAAACTTTCTCCACCATTTCCAAAAAATACATCCAGCCCATGCAATCATTTCACCGATATCCATTCCTTGCATGCAATAAATCATTTAATCGGGCAAACCCCACTTCATTGTCATTCAACCCATATTCAAGCTCCTCCCCCCTCAACGCATGCGCCAATCAAACAATCAACAATCACCGATCAAAACTCCGTTCAAATGGCCGTTCCACATTCACCTTACTTACTTCTCATACAAAATTTTTCATCCATTATCTAACCGTTTCCTGCCTATTCCCTTATGACAAAAATCTCATTTATTCCTTATCAGACCAACAATCAAACGATAATCCGCTCATAACCAGAAGACATTTCCCTGAAAAACTTTTTACAGAGAGTGTACTCCGAACATTCAAGGACTCACTTCCTGCTCGACCCTGCACTCTTATCTCCTTGTCTTTTATAACAATAACCAGCCCCTTGTCACCACTTTCCCTTTTCCATTCAAGGTTCCCAGAAAAAGTACGTCGTACTTTTCCCGATACATTCAAAACCGTTCCAAGAAAACTACCAATACTCATCCAAAGAAAATTGCATAGAACAAATCTCCCTCCTTCGATAATAAAAATTCAAATCACACTCCTTCCGAGCTGTCCTAATTCGTAACCCCTTCCTCACAATCCCGATCAAAGTCTTCACAACAAATCAATTAAAAATTTTCCGAATAATTATTCATTAATTTACCCCTCATATCGTCCTAGATCCTTCCTAACAATATTTATATATTTCCATCCTTACTTACAAATCAACCAAGCATTTTACCATAGCAATTTCTATCTTCCTCTTTTCTAACAATTATTTAAACAATCTTTCAATCTCCAGTTTCATCCGAATTTCGCGCGCCCGACCAGACGCCCTCTATACTCTCGTTTCAAGGTCTAACTTTTCTTTACATATTCAAGCGCAGCATAACCTACAAACGTCACCCCGAAGACCACAGCTGTATCACTTCGATTTCCAAGAATCAGAGCTCCAATTTGAACAAGGACACCACTAACCGCTCAATTTGAATACTACCAAAGACCAAAACTTGACTCAACACTAAATCGATTCTTCATTTCAGGTATAAGAACTTCAAACCTTCGCATCCCAACCAGAGTTATAAACACCAAGGTTATCAAACGCAGCGATACCCTAAATACATGAAGGAATTACCGAAAGCTGAAAGAAATCTCTAATAATAAAGGTAGTCAACATCTTTATAACTTTGTATCATCTTACATTCCCTTCAAAATTACTTTTTCGCCCAGTAAAACAACCCATATCAACGTACTCATCCCTGCCCCTGCATATTTCTCTCTACCAATTCCCTAATCTAGCCATACTATAAAAAAAAAGAACTCTTTTCCTTTAAACAATTCATCTCTCATCTTTACCAAATACCGGTTCATACAATACATCACCCAGATAACCTTTCCTCCCTCTTTTTTATTTTTAACAATACAACCAAATTCCTTCCTTTTTCTTCCTTACAACATAAAGGCATACTATCTCCCTGAACAACTCCTTCTACCATATCCTTTCCATTGTCAAATTCATTCTCCTTACAGCATCCAAAGCCACCTCACCCTTTCACTTAATACCAACAAGTTACACAGAATTTAATGAACTCAATATCCGACAGATCTTCAAATCCTTGATTGATACAAAGCTCCTACCGTTCTGTCTCACCAGTCAGTCTCCCTGAAAAGCCTAATCAATTTCTCATAAGACAACATGCCTTATAATCAAAGTCATTTCGATAAAACTATCAATATCCACCCAATAGAAACTGTATAATATAAATCTCCTCCCCTTGATAATAGTGAATTTGAATCACGTTCTACTCCAAGCTGTCTTGAATCGTAACCCTGTCCCTACAATACCAAACAAAATCCTCACAATAGATCAATCAAAAATTCACATGATTACACATTAAATTATCCCTCATATCATCCTAAGTTCTCTCTAACAACATTTATACAGGAACCAAGATTCCAGTTTAAACAAGAACGCCGCTAACCACTCAGTTTAAATTATTATTCGTAGCCAAAATTTGGTCCAGCACTAAATTAATTCTTCATTACAGATATAGTTACTTCAAGCTTTTTATTTTCTAACGAAGATTGCAATTACCAAGAATTACAACTATCAAAATTAACAAACGCATGAGGTAAATACCGAAAGCTGAAAGAAATCTCTAGTAAGAAAAAAGGTAACCAACGTCCTTACAACTTCATATCATTCCACATCCTTTTCAAGCATATTCTCCCGCTCATTAAAACAGCCCAGTTCAACTTACTCTCCCTTGCCCCTGCATATTCCTCCACTAGTTTCCTAATTTGTCATATTGTCAAATCTCACTCATACAAGGCATCACCCCAAAAAGAAAAAGCCTTTCCTCCTTTTTATACTTGTAACAATACATACCAATTTCTCCCTTTTACTCTCCTGAAACAGAAAAAACAAATTCCCTTCCTAAACAATTCATTTCACCATGGCCTCTCCACCGTCAAATCCATTCCTTTACATCATCCATAACCGCCCCACTCTTTTTCCCTTAAGTTCTCCAGCAGATTGTTCATAGCTTGATAATTTCAGTGTCCAACGAACCTCCTACCGCTCTGTCTCACTGGTCAATCTCCCTGAAAAATCTTGTCAATTCCTCATAAAACAATATGTCATATACTCAAAAATATTTCAGGAAACCTACTAATATTTATTCAAAGAAAATCGCAGCAAAATTAAATCTCTTCCCCTTGATAATAGCAAACTTGAATCACATTCCATTCCAGACTGTCTTAAATCATAGCCCCATCCCCACAATATCAATCAAAGCCTTCGCAACAAATCAATCAAGAAATCTACCTAATTCTCCATTAAATTATTCCTCATATCCTAAATCGTAACCCTGCCCCACAATACCAATCAAAGCCTTTACAACAAGGTAATCAAGAAATTCCGCATAACTACACATTAATTTATTCCTCATATCATCTTAGACCCTTCCTGTAAATACCTATATCAACCCCTCTCTATCTACAAGTCAACCAAGCACCTTTACAGTAACAATTACTATCCCTTTCCTCTCTAGTAATAAATAAAACAATCTTCATCTCTCCAGTCTCTTCCGAATTTCGCGCGTCCAGCCAGACGCCCTCTGTACTCTCATTTCAAATCTCAACTCTCTTTTGCTCATTCAATCCCAACATAACCTACAAACGTCATCCCGAAGACCACAGCTGAATCACTCCGACTTCCAAGAGTCAAAGTTACAATTTAAACAAGAACACCGCTAACCGCTCAATTTGAATATTACTCTTAGCCATGATTTGACAAAACTCTAAATTTGTCTTCATTTCAGATATGATAATTTCAAACCTTCGCCTTCCTACAAGTGTCACAAACAACAAGGTTAGCAAGCACATCGATACGATTAATAAACACATGAAAAAATTAACGAAAGATGAAAAAGACCTCTAATAAAAAAGGTAACCAACATTCTTATGACATTGCATCGTCTCATATCCCTTTCAAAATTATTCTTTCATTCAATAAGACAACCCGGTTCAACTTACTCATCCTTGCCCCTGCATATCTCTCCACAAGCTCCCTAAACTATCATGCCGTCCGGAAGGACCCCTCTTCCCCTTAAAACAATCCATTTCTCACCTTTACCAAATACCCCTCACCCAATACGTCACCCAAATAGCCTCTCCTCCTTCCTTCCACCTTTAACAATACACCCTAAATTTCCTTCCTTCTCTTTCTTTACAATAAAAGATGAATTACCCTCCTAAACTATTCCCTCTACTGTGGCCTATCCACTGTCGGATTCGTTTCCCCTTTCAATGTCCAAAGTTGCCTCACCATTTCCTCTTAATCCCTCCAACAAATTGCACATCAATTGATAATTCCAATATCTGACAAGCCTCCATTCCCCTGATTAAAATCAAGCTTCTACCATTCTGTCTTACTGGTCAAACTCCCTGAAAAACCTCATCAATTTCTCATAAGACAATAAGTCATGTAATCAAAGTCACTTCAGGAAAATTACCAATATTTACCCAAAGAAACTTGCAGAAAATAACTCTCCTCCCCTTGATAATAACAAATCTACTACACGTTCCATTCCAAGCTATCTTAAATCATAGCCCCGTCCCCACAAACCATTCAAAACCTTCACAACAAATCAACCAATGATTCCATATAATTACTCATTAATTTATCCCTCATATCATTCTAGATCCTTTTTTCAACAATACTTAGACAGGAATCGAGACTCCAGTTCAAACAGGGACTCCGCTAACCGTTCAATTTAAATATTACTTGTAACCAAAACTTGATTCAACGCTAAATTAATTCTTCATTTCAGATATGATTATTTCAAACCTTCATCTATACCAGAAACAATGCTCCAGATTGAACAAGGACACCGCTGACCGCTCAATTTAAATATTATTAGTAACCAAAACTCGACTCCATACTGAATTAATCTTTTATTTCAGATATAGCGATTCCAAGCCTTCGCTTTCCAACAGGATCAACAAGTAACAGAATTAGCAAACGCACCGATACAATTAAACACACAAGGTAATTACCAAAGATTGAAAGAAAACCTCTAGCACAAAAGGTAACCATCGTCCCTATGATTCTATATCATTCCACAACCTCTTCAACATATTCATTCGTCCAATAAAAACAAACCCAGTACAACGTATTCGTCCTTACCCCTGTATATTTACCCTTTCCTTTTATTATCTTAATAATACATACCAGATTCCTCCCTTTCTTCCTTATAACAGAAAGACAGATCTCCTTCCTAAACAATCCCTTTTACCGTGGCATTTCCATTGTCAAATCATCTTCCTTATAGCGTCCAAAGTCTCCTCCTTAATCTCCCCAACAAATTATAAATAGCTTGACAATCTCAATATCCAACAGGCCTCTATTTCTCTGATTAAAACAAGGCTCCTACCACTCTGTCCCATTGATCAATCTCCCTAAAAAACCTTATCAATTTCTCATAGGACAACATATCAAGATCGTAGTCAAACAAATCCAGATTACCAAACACTTCACGTCTCTTCCTAATGAATCTGTCACAATTAACTAACAGATGCTTAACCGACTGCAACTCGCCCGAGCCACAAATACATTGCCCATTCTCCCGAACTCCCATCCTAAACAAATGATAATTCAGCGGAGCATGTCCCGTTAAAACATACGTCAAAATTCGAACATCGGCCCTTTTCATCTTCAATATCATTCTAGCCTTACTCACATTTATCTCACCTATCATTTCCTTCCCTTGTCTACAATTCGTCGTCTCAGACCATCTACTTGTCAAACGGGAAAGCGAAAATCTCTTCAATTCTGATTTGAACCCCGCATATGACACCGGTAACCAAGGCTCCACCCCTTGTCTTCCTTCCTTCACTACAAGTTTCGCCAATCTGTCAGCTTCTTCATTACCAGAGACTCCTCTATGTCCCGGGCACCAGCACAAGATCACTCTCCTATTAACCAATGCTAATTCATTCAAGATGTCACAACATTCCAAAGCAATCGCCGACTTAAAGCTTGATCTCTCCATCGTCTTCACCGTCGATTCACTGTCAGTAAAGATGACTATATTATTACCTCTGACCCCCCTGCTCATCAATTCCTCCGCACACCTCAATACAGTCACTACCTCCGCCTGATACACCGTGGCAAATTTCCCTAAATATTCAGATCCACTCTCGCCCGACAACTCCGAGACCCATGCACATCCCGTAGCACTCTCCTCATCCTTACTACCATCCGTAAACCATGCATTCCATCCTGTAAACCTTTCCAACTTACCATTCTTCCACTCATCTCTTTCAGGGATCGCCGTTCGAAATTTTCTCCCAAATCGAAACGTCATACTAATCTTGTCCGTCGCAGATTCCAGAGTCATTAACAAGTTTTTCTCTGTTTCAGGTATACAGCTCTTCAATATAGACGAATGACCTTTGTCCGTCGGCCGCCACTTTCCCCAATCTCGCAGAAGTTTCGCCGTACGAATCGCTACCTCTTCTATTCGAAACAGAAGCGGCGGCATTGCCAACATCGCCTCCATCGCCCTCGTCGGAGAACTCCGAAACGCGCCAAGTATCCTCTTCAATCCTATATGTTGTAAACTCTCCAATCTACTCCCAATCCTGAGATTCTGTACGCCTTCCCACCATATCACCGCACCGAAAAACAATCTTGGTAAAATTATACAGCTATAAATCCAATGAGCCGCAGCCGGCGTAAGTCCCCACGTACTTCCAACCATTCTACTAATTGTGGCTAGATTCTTTCTCGCCCTGTTAACTGTCCTCTCAACCTGTGCTTTCCAAGAAAGATTACTAGAGAAAGTTACTCCCAAATATTTTACCTGATCAGATTTCACCAATTAAACACCATTTAACTTAATCCCTCGAATATCCAATCTCCTTACCTTTCGCGTCACTACCAATAACTCCGTCTTGGTAGGATTGACCGATAGATTCGTTTCCGAACACCATTCCTCTACCAGCCTCAAGGCAGATTTCATCAATCTTTTAGCGACCCTTCCATCTTCGTGCGTTACTACTACGGCAATATCGTCCGCGTATCCCCATACTTAAAATCCATTCACTCTCAACCTTTCCAGCAACGAGTCCACCGCCAGACACCAGAGCATCGGTGACAATATCCCTCCCTGCGGGCAACCCCTGTTCGCCAATCCTCCAGCAGTGATTCCTCCAAACTCCGTCGTTATCAGTCTGTCCGACAGCATTCTATCTATCCACCTGACCACCGCCGCGTCCACGCCATGATCCAGCATACCTTTAATGAAAACATCTTTGGGCGTCTGATTAAAAGCTCCTTCAATATCCATGAAGCAGGCCACAGCATACTGTCTTCCGTAGAGCGCCTCCTCGAAACATCTAGTGATACCATGCAAGGCCGCTTCTACCGAGAAACCTACGCGAAACGCGTACTGCCTGTCAGACAACGGGGACGACATCAATACCACATCTTTGAAATACCTGTCGATCTGCTTCTCCATCGTTTTCAATAAGAACGAGGTAAGACTGATCGGCCTAAAAGACTTCGGAGAAGAATAATCCGACTTCCCAGGCTTCGGTATAAAGGTAACCTTCGTTCTTCTCCACAGAGTCGGAACATATCCCATAGCTAAACTCGCTCTCATTATCTTTGCCAGATGTCCCAAGATTAAACTCTTTCCTATTTTCAGATATCTAGGAATGACTCCGTCCGGACCAGGCGCCTTATACGGTAAAAACGTACTTATCGCCCAGCCAATCTTCTCCTCCGTGACTATACTCGCCGCCAACCCCCAGTTCGGCCTCGTCTGTCTCAACGTCTGAGCATTCCCGCCGTCATCATTAACCCTTACAACATCCATGTCTACCGCATTCAACGCCCCCGGGAAGTGCTCCACAATCAACGTCTCCAACGTCTCCTTAATGTCCCCAGTCATCGTTCCGTCCCGTTTCTTCAACAACCCTAAACTATTCTGATCAACCCTCTCCAACACTCTATTTATCCTTGCTATTTCCTGCGTCTTTTTCAATCCGTTACAAAAACTCCTCCACGAGTTCTTCTTCGCCTTACAAATCTCCCTGCTCAGTTTCAACTCCGTTCTCCGCGGTTTGTGCTTGTCCCCGGTCCTGCCCGTTCTTCGAGCCTTCTTGTTCAACCTTCTACCCTTCAAACTGAGATCCTGCAACTTCGAACTCCACCACGGGAGCCTCGCATTAAACCCTTTCACCTTCTTTTCCAATGCATCTTCCGCCGCTTCCATAATAGCATCTGTAACATACTCCAAATAAGCATCAATTTGTAACGGTGTACCATACTCCTTCGGAGATTCCCTCAGTTTATCATTCAAACCCTCCATAAATTTCTCCACGTTCAACTTCTTCTTATCGCTGACTATCCTGTTCATTGGAACCCCTTCGACCAACAATCTAAACGAGATAAATCTATGATCCGAGAGCGACAAATCATCCAGCACCCTCCAATGACTCAGCACCGATCTTAATTCCAACGATACCATCGTAACGTCCAATGTCTCCTCCCTAATCGCAGTACTAAACGTCGGTACCGATCCCTCGTTCAACCATGTCATTCCATTAATATTCATAAAGTCCAACAACTTCAATCCTCTATTATTCGTGACCGAACTGCCCCATAAAGTATGGCACGCATTCGCGTCCGCTCCTACAATCATACTAACTCCTTGTTGAACACACCAATCAACCAACGAGTCCAACTTTTCCGAAATCGGTTCCCGTTTATCATACGGCATGTACACCGATACAATAATTACTTTTGACAGACGCGAACGTTCATTATTCTTCTCCAACAAAACCGTCGTGATATCTCTTCCACTGAACTGCGGCAATAAAACCGGCTTGACCTTACTAGTATGTACAATGCACGTCCTCGGCCTCTGATCATTACAATTATACAGCACGCTCCCCGTCATGCCCATACCTTTAATTTTGTCATTTACCGTCCACGGTTCCTGAATCAACGCCACGTCCAGCCCATCTTTCACCATCAAATTTGATAGCGCACCCACCGCTGCTCTCGACCTATGTAAATTAATCTGTACAAATTTCAGGTGTCCAGACATATCTATTCAAGATTTCAACCTTTAAAGATCAACTCAAAAAAGGACCAATCCGTCAAAGAGGAGGAAAAGAAGAGAATCAGCCCCCAATTGATCTCCCAGCTACAAAGTGGATCAAGAAATTCAAAAAGATACTCGTTAAAACAATCCCACTTCTTTCATACAACTCCCGCCTTTTCCTCCTTCTTCCTCCCTTTCTACTTCTTAAATTTCAGCGCCCAGTAAGTCAAAAGAACATCGCATCACGAATTTAATAAAGCCGCGAATTGATGCGAGCCCCTAACTTATCCTCCTATATGTATATATTCAATAGCCAATCCCTATACCTCAGAGCAAGGATGCAAACCTAGATCAGTAATTCCCAGAAATGTTGAACAATTATTATAGTCAATACCCTGTATTACCTCGACAAACATGTACCTCTACCAATGATAGTATACTCCCAGTCGGCAAAGAAACACTAACTTCCCAACCAACAGAGACCGTCAACCCGAATTTACCAAACGAAAGTACAGTCAATTAGTCTTAACCAGCGACAACCAATCGCAGTTACTGTAGACACAGGCAAAGTTTTTCGTAAACCAGAAAAGAATTCCACTCTAAACAACCCCCGTACAAGTAGGAAACTACCCAGTAATAATTCAGCCACCCTCTATCGTAACCTAGTCCAAACTCTCACCGTTCCAAACCCATTTGCCAACCGTCCACCCTAGATGCTCAATGCTCAGTATCAATATCGATATCGAACCCTTTCCCATGTCCTTACCGATCAACCAATACAAATTAACCGAATCCAATTGCTCACCCTTGATTCATTTTAGCGTAAATGAACTACCGCTAATAATACTTTAATTCCACATCAATCAAAATTCCGCTTACCTCATAGACACGCCCTATGCCATGTCAAGCAATTATCCAATATTGTTGTAATCTACAATTTCTAATAAATCAATCATCTAAATAAATACACAAAAAGGTCTCAATTTATCAATAAAAATTTTCCTCTTTTCAGTCTATGAGAATCAACACAAGCAACTCTTTATTATCATATGAAAATTCTTTTAAAAACTATTACATTCTCTGCCACAAAAGGATAAAACAAAAAGGAAACAGACTTAACAATCAAGGATGAAAAGGACGTTCACAATAAAACAAAACAATCTTATTTTCTCTCTCGACAAAATAACATTTATCATTCATTTATTATCAACATCATTTATTCCAGCCAATTCCTCCTGACTGTCAGACTTCCACTCGCAGAAACCACGTTCCGTTTCTTCCGCTTCCAGATCCTTCCCATTCAGCTTCGC